TGTTAAGACAACTTTCTGTATTTGAAAATTTGAAATTCAGTTGACTAAAACAAGCACATTTATGTTGCGTCAAATGAGCTTGGTCGGAACCACGGTGGCCGGAACCAACGAGCATCGCCGCATCGCCATCACCATCGTAACAAAACACAAAAACAAAGCGAGTTTCAAAGGTTTCAAACTTTCGGGCGTAATGTTGGGCGCTTCCAATCTTTCGGAAAAGAAGATCGAAGAACGTTCTTGGAAAAAGGAAGTGTATTAGGTGCCGGCGGGCCCGTGGAACCAGCTGTGGAGTTGAGTCTAATTGGTGAGTGCTCGCCGATTCGTTTTACTTCTTCAGTCCTTTCTGTTCGGAGCGTTTATGTCGTGTTCTTGTGTGTGCAGGCGGCGTGAAAGCGACCGTGAGTGGTTCCTTGTCGCACACGTGCGTTCCGCATTGGATGGCCCTCGAGCTTTTGCCAAGGAAGTCCCGGAACCGATCTGTCACTGAGCGAGCAGTCAGATTGCGGGGAGGCACCCAGAGGCAAAGGTTCCACCGGAGGCAGCTGGGGCGGCCGAGCGAGGCACTTGGTGATTATATCGGAGCTTGATCTCGTAGATCGGTAAACAAGGCTTGACTGCTGCAAATCGCGTGGTGTCTTGGTATCGCCTAGCTAGGCGGTGTGTTTTGCAGAACCCATGACTGGTAAAAGTACCCGTTAGCGTGCTGGCTCGCGTATTCGCTTCCACTGTGGGGAGTTGGATTCTAGTTCGTTTTTTGTTTTCGGAAACTGCTCGAAACAATGCGTGACGTGCGCCTTTAGAAGTAGGGTCTGTATTGATGATGTTGTTTGCGGAGAGTATAAAGAGTTTTTTTTCGACTGGGGCACTGACTTTCTATGCAAAATCCTGTAGATGTTGCGCTTATTTACTAACCCTCTGGCAGTACTTGATTGAGAAGGTTGGAAGAAAAAACAAAAACGCGCATTGAGTAGTGACAACAGAAACAGAAAAAAAGGTGTTTTAAACAACTACCTCTAAAGACCATGAACTGATTTTCAAACCATCACCTCCTCACTTCATAAGCAAGCGAGAAATCATGTGGTGGTATTTCACTGGAACCCAAAGTTTTCCCACCAGTCTGACAGTCGGCAAGGGCAAAGCCCTCGATAAAATTCAAGATTCACATTTTCGCAAGTGCCGACTACCATAAAGTATAAACCGCAGGCTTGTAGCCAGGATTTTGTATCGGAAGGGGGGGGGGGGGGGAGGAGGGGGGGGGGGGCGGGGCTCGCCCATTGCAAAATGCTGTATGAGGGGTAGGGGGGAGAGGAGGCCCCAGCAAAATGGAAGATTTTTTTTTTTGGGGGGGGGGGGGCCCATGCCTCCCCCCCCCCCCTGGCTACGTGCCTGATAAACCGCATGTAAGCAATTTAGCGAGCAGCGAGACAAATGATGGCAACCCTTTTCGCAATCGCTCGATCAGCCACACGACGAGGCGAATCACACGAAAACGACGGGAACAAGCGACCAAGGCGATGAGCAACGTTTTCTAGAAATCGAAAAACCGAGCTACAGTGAGAAATCTTCGTCGCTTGCTAAATCGCGTACATGCGGTTCAGCCTTAATTGTGTAAGCTAGAGTGACGGTGCCACTCACTTCCAAGTGCCTTTCATTTCAGAGCTAAACTGCCATACCCTGCAGCGATCGTCCAGCGTTTCAAAGCGCCCAATCAATGGAAACAACCCACCAGCGCCACTCCAAGGAGCGCTTTCGCCGGCTCTCTGGTATCACGCAGGAGATCGCGATTCAGGAAAACCGATAGAACTACCATTTCTAAAATTTCCAGCCTCACCCGGCGGCGGAAACGAACCTTCAACTAGGTGTTGTAGACGATAAAATCGAGTCAGTCACCACTGCAAATGATCAATATTAAGATATATTCAGTTACAAAATTTTACTAGCTGAAACAGCAGTTATCACCAGAAAACTCGCACGCACCTTGCGAGCGTACCCCATGTTCATTGGCGATACAGCGTTCGGTGCGCGCTCCATTCACGAAAAATGTTCCGAGCACAGTCCAGAGGTTGGCGTTGAGGAAACGCCTTTTCGGTTCACGGACGCAATCCACTGCCGCCTGAAACCGGGGTCATGTGGAAAGCATGGAGCTTAAACGCCGTTCACACTCTTGCGACCGAGTACGACCGAGAGAGACCAGACTGGTTTTTAAGCCTTTTGCGACTTCTTAGGACCGGATGGGCTGCAGCGCGGAGGTGGTCCTAAGAGATCGCAAGAGGCTTAAAAAGCGGGCTGGTCTCTCTCGGTCTTACTCGGTCGCAAGAGTGTGAACGGGCCTTTAAAGACCATTGCAGCCGCTCTCGCCTTGCCAGATTCCTTGCAAGCTACATAGGTCTTCCCACAGTATTCAACGCTTTCTGTTTTTATTCGAGCACCCTTTGACCGAGCAATGGTGTCCCGATGAGTGGGGGACTGTTGCCATCGAAGCCCGTAGCTGTAATTAAGTGTGCGAGTTTAAAACAGAAAAGAAGGTGCAAACGAAGACTGCAGACACCCAACACCGGCCAAGCCTCTCATCCGGGACTTTCACCCTTTCTACACAACCAGAAAGGGGGAAAGCGCCGGTAGCTTTCCCCTTTTCTCTCTCGCCCTCTTTCAGTAAAACGGTCTATACAGCTGTCCGTAAACCGTTTAGGATGAGTGTAGCTCATCCGCGCACCATACCTTACCCCTTGTTTCTTTTTAGGCATCCCAGGTTTGTTCTGAGCATACCTCTCGTAGCTTTCGTAGCTGCTTAGAGATGGCAGCACGCATTTTTTTATTGTGCAGGTTTTTAAGGATGGTGACTGATTGTGGAAACATGTGCGGCCTGGGCCGTATGTGCAATAAAAATTAAAAAAATAAAAAGCTAGAGGAAAGAAAAAAGTTGAGTGGTTACGGTGAACAATGTGCAACATTATTATGCATTTTCCTCGTTCCTTTGAGAATATCTAACTGGATACAAGACACACTTTCATGACGTGCAGGCAACGTCAACAGAAATGTTAAGTGAGTGCAGACTTTGCAGTCTCCTTATGACCGATTCACACGACGAGCTTATCTGCAGATGGACTGATCACTTGCAAGACGTCCACGGAACGTCAGTCCCCCAAGTGCGTCCACACGGAGGAGACGAGCTGATTACAGCGAGGACAGACTGAACCTTTTCGCGGCCCTGCAATTCCACAAAAGGCCAACATCGCACTGTGGCACCGTTATTCAAGGTCAGAAGTGATGTTTGCGACTACGATCACGGTGCTATCATGAAAAAGAATCGTTGTGTGCCGCTTTTACATACCGAGCGAGACAAAGCATTGTGACAGGCTTAGCGTGAAGCACCACTAGCTCTACTAACCACATGACACAAGTACAGTTCTGCTCCAGAAGGCTTCAGCATTAAAGCGATTAAGTCTTGGGGTCGCGGAGAGGCAATTGGAAATGCCTTTACGCATTGCTTCCTTGTGCACCACTCTCCAGCACACTACAGCCGTAAGAAAGGTCTTGCTGGGTGGAAAACTGGGTGGACGTGCAGGAAAGATTGCAGCGTGCTAGGCAGGTTTTCACAGAAGCTTCTTGACACCGACCTGGAGGAGTACCAGAAGCTGCGGCGCATCAACTGGGCAAAGTTCTTGCAGCTTCTTTCACGAGTGGAAAATAAGATTGGCTCGACAAAATGAAACAGCGAATGACAAAACACAGTGGTGCACCATCTTTGTTTGGCTTATTCAAAAACAAAAATATTGCTGTGCTGTAGGTACTCTACTGTACATAAACGCTTTTACTGTTACTCACCCGCCAGAAATCTGCGCGTGAAAAGGCACTCTGCCCTCACAGTCTGGGCGTTTGCTGACGAGGTGCAAATCGTAGGAATAGCCGACATGATGGTAACGTGACAAACGGTCCACGGATGAAAATTGCTATTCAATCCATCTTGTGAATCTACCATTATTTGTCAATTATCCTAATATGATCATTTGATCCTTAGAAAGAGCAATTGTTCTTTAAAACAGTGTAATGAAAGTAAGTTTTTATGAACAGTGCCTGCTCCTTTCTTTGACAATGGAATGGTACGAGTCTTGGTAAAACAGAAACTTCCTGTAGTACAGCCATTGCAGATTGCAGACGTCTGCTCATTCCATGCTCAAACATGAGCTTGTATTGGCAATGCCAACCCCCTGTGTATGATCTGAAAATTCCTTAAAGGGATACTGAATCGGAATTTCGAGCTCACAAAACTAGGCTGGACGGATAGGCGGGACGCTGCAAAACCCCAAAACATCACTCATACAGCAATATCTCTAACGGATTGCCGTATTTTTAGAAAAGAAATTCGCGATTGAACACGGCTGACAAGGCCGACGAGACAAGGCACGTCACGATTCCCATTCCCTCTTCACCTCGCTACGTCTCGTGTCGAGTTGGTGAACCGAAGCAAGGAGCAGAGAAGCGAGGCCGCTTCCCCTCATTCTCAAATTTTCCCGTAGGACAATTACCTCAAAGACCTCACTTGATCGCGCCCTTCATTTCCAAAAGTACGGCCATCCGTTTGAGATATCAATGTTTGAGTGATGTTCTGCAGTTCGTAGCGTCCCGTTCAACGCTTCTACAGCCTTATTTTGCGAAATCCAAATTTCGGTTCAGTATCCCTTTAATGACTGTGGTCAAGGGAGAGTAGTTTCTGCTGTCAAGAACAGGATGGAGTAAAAGGAAAAGTGTCTCAACGAACAATGAATGCTCCGGGTTACCCATTCGGCCAAATTTCTGCAACATGAACCGGGCTCTAACAGAAAGACGTAGGATAAGCACTTCGAAATCTTTAGGATTTGCCAAGGGATGAAATAAATTAAATGCACAGAAAAGCAGGGGAAGGACAATGGCAAGAAAATTTTGGGGCTTGTGTTTTTACATTTTTTTAAATTGTTTGTGCAGGAAGCATTACTAAAACAGCACTTCAGTTTTGGGGCTACAATTCATTGCTAGTCAAAGCCTGTTTCCAGAGATGCGCATCAGGTGAGCAGCTTTTTTTTAAAGAGCATTAAGTGCTTTTTAACATTACCCTCCAATCCTAAAATGTTGTCCATCCATCCGTGCATTTGCCGCTAAATTTAGCGGGGACATTGCTGCTACGTGACCTCTACACAAGTTCAGTTTCCCCTCTAAATTTAGCAGAAAAATTTATGTCACGAGACCTACAGTCAATTTAAAGCTCTTCGATAAATTTAGCGGAAAAATAGACTTCATGTGACCTATGCAACCATTCAATTTCTCCCTCTAAATTTAGCGGAAATATTCATGTCATCTGACCTATGCACTAATTCAGTTCCCCTGCTAGATTTAGAGGGACAATTGATTCATGTGCCCTGACGTCATGTGACCTACAGACAAATTCAGGTTCCCCGCTAAATTTAACGGGTAAATTGATGTCACATGACCTACACACCGATTCAATTTACCCACTAAATTTGGCAGAAAAATTTGTCATGTAATCTGACGTCATGTGATTTACACGGTAAGGTTCCTGCTAAATGTAGCGGAAAAATGGATGTCACGTGACCTATGTACCAATTCAGCTTCCCCACTAAATTTGGCAGAAAAATTGATGTCGCTTGATCTGACGTCATGTGGCCTATACACACATTCAGTTTAAAATTAAAAAAACCAACCTCTTAAATACTGCATTTCATGTGTTATAGCTAGGGGTATGCAAATACTCGAATATACGAATTCAAATCGAATAGAAAGTTCCCGAATAATTCGATTCGCGAATCGAATTCCTAGTATTCGGTCACTCGAATATTCAATATATTTGGCCAAAGACGGGCGGTCGGCGCGGAGCTTACAAAAAAGTCGTTCTTTCTCCCGATGTAAGCGCTGTGATATTAGACAGACCATGCGGAAACACCTCTTGGTCCTACCATTCCACAAAAATCTAACGCGCAGGTTAGAAAAAAGAAAATTAACGAAAGCCACAAACTTTGTAGCACGCAGATTTACTTACGATCGTGACACAATCTTCCCTTGAATCACAACCGAAACATCCCGTTACGCCGCGCCATGCCTAATTGTTTTTCACGAGCGCCGATGTAGAACACACTTGCCGCATTCACGGAAATCGGCGACTGCACGATCACACAAAGAAAACTATGTTAACCACGCCGATGAAACCAGCCGAGTTATCGTCGTCGTTTTTTTGGAGCTGTAAGCCGCAAACTCTGATTCTGAACAAAACTCAACGGAAAAATAGTGTGCCTAGATTTGAGAGGGTTTCCAACTGTTCGATAGCCGCGTTTGAATTACGAACTGCGAGAAGGTGACGAAAAGACGGAAGCGTTGATCGGGATCGGGCCGGCAGGGCAGGCGTCGTCGCTCTTTTGTTTGCTCGCCTTCTTTCCACGCGACAACACAACACATGCACACTTACGACCAACCTGCGCTGGAGCAGTCTTCGTAATTTCAGCTCCGCTTGCTCCCTCTTTTAAATCTAGGCTCTCTAAAACAGGATAGATAGACGGAAAAATTGATGCATAGCGGCAGTTGGACGGTGACTTGCGCCACCTAACCAAGTTTTGTTTCCTTGCTTCAGATTATATTGTTTAAGCCTGTTTACTCAGATTTAACACCTATCTGTTCATTTATGCAAAATAAAATCCCCGGTGTCCTTTTTCTTCCTTAAAATGGAGACCAAATATCGCAAAATGTCCCTTTTCTGAGATACACAAATATTTTTTTAAAAAGGTCGCGGTGTTAGGTTGTGCTTTTAACGAGAAGGCACGGGTGGCTTTTTTTTTGTGACGTTTAGGGTAGATAGATTATGTTTGCGCCATAAAATTGGATCTTTAGTGGCCAACGTCCAACAGCAACTGCTTTTATTTTTTTACCAGAAGTTTTTTTACATTTTTGCTTTTGTTCCGTACAAGATGCATATTCTACACCGGGCACATACTCTGCACATATAATGGTCTCATTTGCAGCACACTTTGAAAAATTCCTACAAATAAAATCACTATTCGATATTCGATTCGATATTCGGCTTTTTTTTCTTGATTCGATTCGGTATTCGATTTGAAAACTACTATTTGGTATTCGCACACCCCTAGTTATAGCACTTTGAAGGTAAAAGTCACTTCCAATTTTAAATAATGTTTTTACTTTAAAGAAACAACTTTTCTCTAATTGTTTTGATTGAACACTAGTGTCATAAACTGCTTCTAGCAGCCTTGAACAGTAAAGTTTGCACATCTGGGCCCGTTTGCTCGAAAGCGCTAACCGCGGCTAGAGTTAGCCAGAGCACCTAGGAGAGGGATTTTGAAATCACGTGACGGGCTCGGTGGGGATGCGGGGAAACATGGCGGTGCCCCAACGACGGAGCGCCGCTCGCTTTGGAACTAATATGTCGTTGTAGCTGCAATATCGGGCGCTTTAGTCAGCAACGAATGGTGCAGTATGCTTCCGCTTTGCCTTACCTCACTTAAATCGCAAAGCACGAGCAATGACCTCGCCGCATTGTTTAGATAGTCTTTTGATTCTGGCCATTCCTAAGCCTAAATGAACGCGGTAGCTGTCGGCATGGCAACGTCTTTGCAAAGTGGATTGCCTTGACTCAATCGGCCGGGTATTGATAGCGCACAAAAGCTGACAGCGTCCCATAAACCTTTCTCTAAATTTCCCAAGCACCGAGGTGCACGCTACGAGTGTAGTTACACACGTTGCACGTGCTGGCGTCTGCAGTAGTAATTGTTCAAAAGCAAAAAGTCTAAAACAAATTTTGCCTTGCGCGTGTGTTTGTCAAAGCCTTATTATGATTATATACTTCGAATCTTTTATAAGAGGGAGGCCAGCGCTTGCAGACCGTAGAATTACACTTCCAGCGTTCTCCTCGATGCTTGGGTAATTTAGAAAAAGGTCTATTGGGACGCTGTCTGTTTTTGTGTGCTATCAATACCCGGCCGATTGAGTCAAGGCAATCCGCTTTCCAAAGACGTTGCCATGCCGACAATTATCGCGTTCATTAGGCTTAGGAATTGCCAGAATCGAAAGATTATCTAACAAATGCGGCGAGGTCATTGCTCATGCTTTGCAATATAAGTGAGGTAAAGCAAAGCGAAAGCCTACTGCAGCATTCGTTGCTGACTATGCGCCCGATATTGCAGCTACAACGACATATTAGTTCCAAAGCGAGCGGCGCTCAGTCACCGGGGCTCCGCCATGTTTCCCCGCATCCCTACCGAGCCCGTCACTTGATTTCAAAATCCCTCTCCTAGGTGCTGCGGCTAACTTTAGCCGCGGTTAGCGCTTCGAGCAAACGGACCCATAAGGATTGCTAATTTTCAACAATATCTCTTGTTTCTTCCAATTGCACAAAATATGCACAGGAAGGTGAACAATACTTTCTTCTTACAGAGCCAGCTCTTCAGTTCTGGGAGCAATGAGTCAATGCCTGATTCCACAGATGCCTATCAGGTGAGCACCTCTTAACGAAACAACTTTGCTCGCATTGTTTTAATTTAACACTAGTGTGGGAAATCTTGTTTTACTACGGTTCTTGAGGTGAAAACGGGTATAGTATTTCAGGTTCATGAAGTACTTCATAGGCACCATGTTTAAAGAAACACTAAAAAAGTTCTTGAATTCAAAACAAAAACCGGCACTTTCCCCCTTGCTCGAGCGTTAGAAAGAGTTAGTCCCAGATGAGAGGCTTTGCCGGTGTTGGATGCCCGCATTTCTTCTCTGTTTTAAACTCCCAAACCTAATTAGAGCCACGGGCTTCGATGGCGACGATCCCCTTGTCATTGGGACACCATTGCTCGGCTATAGGGTGCACGAATAACGACAGAAAGCGTTGAATACTCTCTGGGGACCTACGTACTTGAACGGAATCCGGCAAGGCGAGTGCGGCTGTTTCCACGTGACCCCGATTTCCGGCAGCAGTGGGTTGCGTCCGTAAACCGAAAATACTTTTCCCTAATGCCATCCTTTTCACTGTGCTCAGAACATTTTGTGAATGAAGTGCGCACCGAACTTAACGCTGTACAATCGATGAAACGGGGTACGCTCGCAAGGTGCGTGCAAGTTTTCTCCTTATAATTACTGTTTCAGCTTGTAACTTTTTGTAACTGAATTTATTCCAATATTGATATTTTGAAGTGTTTACAATGACTCAGTTTTATCGACCACAACACTTAGTTGAAGGCTCATTTCCGCTGCCGGGAGTGACTGGAAATTGTCGAAAAGTTAGTTCTATCAGTTTTCCAGAATTGCTATCTCCTGCTCAATACCAGAGAGCCGTGAACCTATGTAGACCATCACAATGCGACTGGATTCTTCTTGTTTTTAAAATTAGTACATAATGTAGCCGGAAAGAAACCTTCAATTTCTGTTGCTGAAAGTTTAAACATGCTCATGCATCAATTTCGAATCGTTGAATCATTGATCGACTCGCTCCGGCAATAGGCGCATCTCGACTTTGCTGTTTTCAGTTCTCGACAAAAGACACACTTGTCGGCACAGGATCCTCAAATAAAACGTTTATAAACACCTATGCAGGAGCATGTTTCTACATTTATAAACATCGATGCATGAGCATGTTTCAACTTTCAGCAACATAAATTGAAGGTTTCTTTCCAGCTACAATAGGTACTAATTTTGAAAATAAAAATAATCTAGTCACGCTGTGACGGTCAACAGAGGTTCACGGCTTTCTGGTATCACACAGGAGATCGCGATTCAGGCAAAAGCAATAGGACTAACTTTTTGACAATTTCCAGCCACACCCAACGGCGGTAATCAGCCTTCAACTAAGTGCTCTAGATAATAAAATCAAATCATTGTAGACACTTCAAAATATCAATATTAAGATAAACTCAGTTACAACATTTTACTAGCTGAAACAGCAATTATCAGGAGAACACTTGCACGCACCTTGCGAGCGTACTCCATGTTCATTGACGGTACAGCATTAAGTGCGGTGCACGCTTCATTCACAAAATGTTCCGAGCACAGTCGAGAGGATGGCGTTGGGGAAAGGTCTTTTCGGGGTCATGTGGAAAGAGATGGGGCTTAAGGACATTGCAGCCGCACTCGTCTTGTCGGATTCCATGCAAGCTACATAGGTCCTCGGCAGTATTCGACGCTTTCTGTCGTTCTTCGTGCAGCCTATAACCGAGCAATGATGTCCCGATGACCGGGGAACTGTCGCTATCAAAACCCGTGGCTCTAATTAAGTTTGGGAATTTAAAACAGAGAAGAAAGCGCAAACAAAGTGCGAGCAATGCCTACACGCGAAGCCTCTCATCTGGAATTTTCACTCTTTCAAACGCTGCAGCAAGGGGGAAAACGCCAGTAGCCCTTTCCCCTTTCCTCTCGCCATCTTTCAGTAAAACAGTCTATATACAGCTCTACTCTGCTTTAGCCTCGTTGAGTGTACTTCGTACCGAGCACCGGTGCACTGCGGAAAAGCAACACCTTCTCCACAGTGCTCAGAAAGAAGTGCTCTCAACGGTGCCGCGAGAACAAAAAGTGTGAATTGCACGAAAGCGCCGTTCGAGTTAAGCGGCTTATGAATACATTGAAAACGTAGCAGGACAACCCAAGTTTTTGAAATTTGTTTGACCAGAAGTATTAAATATCCGAGTTTGAATTATTGCGAGCCTACTGTGTAAACTAAGGGAGATCCGGCTGAATTCAATGTGCTTAATATCACTGAATAGTTGTGCAATTTTAATTTGCTTGTTTTATTTCTCAAACACTTGTATTAGGTATTGAAGTCAATGCAAATTTTATTTTGGTTCAATTTATGAAAGGTTTGGTTTATATGCCATAAAGAAAGGTGGATAGCTGGGATAGTTGATAAGCACATTGCTTGCAGACTTTAACCATGTATGTCATATACAATTTGTTGTGATTGTCTATTGATTTCGAATCCTCTACTGTTCTTTATTTCAAGCTGCCCTTACATGCACCATGAAGATACTGAAGATGTCTTCAATTGAAGGACAACTATAAGCACAAGCAAGGAGGGGCATCTAGATGGCCAGCGCAAGGATTACTATAATGTAAAATTTCTCCAAACTTAAAGCAAGGCATGCCCTCTTCCAATAAAGGTATCGTGGCGACACTTCTTAATTGCTTTGTTTGTTCAGCTGTTGCCTATAGGAACAGCTGATCTCACACAACATAATGCTGGCAAGGAGTAGTACAGGTTGTGTGCTCTTTTTCTTTCGCAAAACATGAACTCTTGCGTGTTTTGTCTAAAGATGAAAAATTATACAAGTGCATATATTGAATGACGGAGCTATGAACTCTCCATACCAATCTGTACCCCAAAGCTTCGTGTGACTTCGGCTTACTTGGACATGGAAGCTGTTCACACTAAGTAATGAAGCACTATACCTTTCTGTCTTTTTGAAGGCCATAGCTACGAGCCATCTGCACCAATCCTGCACCTTTGATACATTAGGTGAAACCCCTGGCAGGGCTAGAGCTCTGCAAGGGGAGTCTGCAGATGTATCGGAGGTGCAGGTGGTATGAATGGCTCGTAGCTTTGGCCTTATATAAGGCGGAAAGGTATAGTGCTTCGTTACTTAGTGCGAACAGCTTTTATATTTCCTACGGATAGCTGTCCGTAATGTGGGCTACAGACATTCCGTCATTTTACAAAATATATGCCTTGTTTTTACGGACGTTTCAGTTTCTAGATTACGGAGACCATGTCGGCAATATTGAACCAGCAACTTTTCCCGTAAAATGAAAAATGGATAATTGTTCGTAAAGTGAGCTACGGACGTTCCGTCATTTTACGAAATTATATGTCTTGTTTTCACAGACTGTCCATATTCTGGATTACGGAAAACATGTCGGCAATATTGAACCGGCAACTTTTGCCGTAAAATGGGGCAAACATTTTTTACAGTGCAGTGAATGACTAGCTTGCACAAAAGTCAATGGCGATACATAAAAATATTAAGCCACAGATACTAGAAGGTGAATCCAAGCTATGATAAAGTGAATGACTAGCTTCCACAGAAGGCAACAGTGAGATACATATAACTATTAAGGCACAGACTCTAAATGTTGAATTTCAACTATCGGAAGGTAAACGACTAACTTGCACGAAAATCAACGGACATATACAAAATATTCCAAGAATAAAGGCTGAATCTCGTTTCACAAAGTGAGTGACTATCTTGCACTAAAGTCAACGGCGAGGTACATAGAAGTATTAAAGCATGCAGATACTTTCTCAGTTGGGTCCCAGCTATCAGAAAGTGAATTGCAAGCTTGCACAAAAGTCAACAGTACATATTAGAAGCTAAATCCCAGCTATATAAATCACAAAGTGCATAACTAGATTACACAAAATTCAATGGCGAGATGCATAAAATTATTAAGGCACAGATGCTAAAACTTGAAACGTGGCTATCACAATAAATGAATAGCTTGCACACGGCGAGATAAGTAAAATATTGAGGCGCACGCACACACACACTAAAACCTTCCGGCGAGCTGTGTCGTGCTTGTCAGATGGAATGCTGAAGAACTTGAAGCATTTCTTGCCGTCGATGTTACAGTTGCTGCACCCGAAAGCGTAGCACTCCGTCATAGCTCACGAACTAACGTCAAGCGAAAACCGAAACTATGTGAAGCTTGCGTGCGAAGTGCAGACATGGAATGCTGAAGAACTTGCCATCGCTGCGACGGTTGTTGCACCAGTTGCATCCGAAATGGCAGCAGCCCGTCAGAGGTTACGAACTGTCGCCGAGCGAAAAGCGGAGCTGTGATGAGGCCGTGCGAAGCCCAGACCCCCAAACCAATCTCCCCAGATACGCCATATGCTGCTGCATTCACACTGGCGGTTTGACCGCACTTGCGAATGCTCTTGCTTAAATACTTATTACAAATCCACCCGCATTTGATGGCGACAACGAGCGGAACCGCATGGCTGTTGCGATTCAACCTATTCAAACGCCAGTCTTAATGCAGCAGCTTACCCAGGCTAGGGTGCCTACATGTTTCCGCTCCGCTTTAGGGTGGCGCCAACTTCTTGTTATCCTTTCCCAGATCCTCTCCCACCGCCATTTTGACCCACTTCTTACTTGGCTAAACGTACACAACGTTGAGTTTTCGTAGTTTCGACACACCTGCAACACTGTGAGGCAACTTCCGTTTCCGTTCATAAGAGGAGTCGGACGAGTCGGAGGCTCAGCGGGATGGCGGTCGTCGTGGCTGTCGCTCTCTTTATTCGAGCGTTTCATACTTTGAAGTTGCGAGCAGGAAGTATGCGTTGCGTTTATCGAAACGTGAGTCCCCTCGACAAAATGGAACGCAACAGACCGGCATCGCACGCCGAAACCTCGCCGTCGGAACGAGAGCGGTGGGCGCTCCCTAGCCCTAACGAGGATTAGCGGAGTAGCGCGAGCGCACGACCAGCGAGTGTGACAAAATGGTCGACGAAACAGCGAAGGCTGCCATGGTAACGAGGTAGGCAACACTGGTTTGTCGGCAACAGGTATCACAAACGTTGTCGCCACCCTAAACAGCGGAGCGGCGGGAACATGTAGGCACCCTAACCCAGGCAGATAGTAGCCGACCCTGTCTGGCGCGCCGAGAGACCGGAGCGAAAATGGCGCCGAGGCGCCTCGAAAAGCAAAAACAACCAAAACAGAAGCGGCGCGCAGCGTGCTCCGCCTGGGGGACCACATTCGTCCAATGAGAGGAGCGGGCGGCATTCTTCAAGAGATGTCGCTACCTTTCAGTATAGAGGGACCTTAGAGTAGCGCAATCGAGAACGCCATCTCTCGGCGACTAGCGGCGAACGCCCGAGGGTTCCAACTCCGGTCACAAATGCATGGGGAACGTGAGAAAATAGCGGTTTCTTGAATATTTGGCTGATGTACGAAACCACAATAGTTTTTGACATAATAAAGGAACAGTTTACAATAATTTGCGCTAAGTTGTGTGCCATGTATAATAACGTAATTTGTTTTAAAAAATGCTTGAGCGGCATCATGCAGCAGACGACGCGGTGACGTCACACCGTTCACGTGACCCGCTCTGGCCAATCCCCATAAAGTCCATCTCCGCGGCGTAAAACAATCGTCTGCTTCAAACGCCATTGCCTTGGAAATTGCCTTCTCACAATTTTCACACGCATCCAATATTATTAAAACTTTGATCAAGTCTTTAGTGCTTTACCAACTTCACGACAGACTAGTTTCGAAAAGTGTGAACTTGGCGTTTGCTTTTTAATGAGCCGTGTTGAGTCGCTCTCCATGTATTATCCTATAGAGCGGGCCACCTCCTGGAACCCTGAGTACCACGTGACTCGCGCCGAGCTGCTCAGTCGGCCATCTTGTCGGCGAAACACGCGGATCAAAGGATTGCGCTACTCTGCTCCGTAGGAGCTATATTGTCACGGGTGGTGACCAAAGGAACAGTAAATAAACAGAAAGAAAGAAACGTTTAATGTGGCGAACTTGTGCCAAAAACTAAAAGGGTACAAAGATAATAACAGAGCGTCGCGGGCGTCGAAGTCGGCGTAGCAGCACAGTCGAACGCTGGGGCGAAACTGACTGCGGCTCGCCACGCGGAGCCCCTTATGTACATGCGTGGTCTTCTGGAATAATCGGCGAAGAAACTTCGACGCGTGGAACATTCGGGCCTGGAACAAGCAACATGATTCTCGAATCCTCCAGAACACTAAATTAGAGGAATAAACAAAAGACATGTCGCTCCAGGATTCGAACCCTAGCTTTTCGCGTGGGAGGCAGGCGCGATAACCATTAGGCCACGCGCGCGCTGCCTACTTGGCGAGCGCGCGCGGCATTACTCCCCCCTTTAAAAAGTGCATCGCCCCGATGCAGCACAAAACAAAAAGCAAACAAAAAGAGCGGTAAACTACAGAGTCATTTGGAATACGTAAGGTCCACTGTCCTATCGAGCGTAGTACGGCTTCATGCGCACGACGTGGACGACTTCTGGTCGTGGAGGGCGGCGTGATGAAGTCCGTGTTCCATCGGGCATCACCTCGTAGTTCAGATCACCGAGTCGACGAAGTACTTTGTAGGGTCCGAAGTAGCGCTTTAGGAGTTTCTCACTGAGACCACGGCGGCGGATCGGTGTCCACACCCACACCCTGTCTCCGGGCTGGAAGTGGACGTCCCGACGACGAAGGTTGTAGCGGCCAGCGTCGACACGTTGTTGGGCTTGAATACGGTGTCTGGCGAGCTGGCCGACTTCTTCTGCCCGTTGGGCAACCACCTGGGCGTCGTCGCTTCCGTCGAGAGCCGGTTCGTGGGGTAACATCGCGTCCAGCATTGTCGTTACCCTGCGCCCATGCACCAGTTGAAAGGGTGTGACTCCGGTGGTCTCTTGTACGGCAGTGTTGTAGGCAAAGGTGACGTACGGCAGCACCTCGTCCCATGTCTTGTGCTCCACGTCGACGTACATGGAAATCATGTCGGCGATGGTCTTGTTGAGTCTTTCCGTGAGCCCGTTGGTCTGCGGGTGGTACGCCGTGGTGCGACGATGGCTGGTGTGGCTGAGACGCAGGATTTCTTGGGTCAGCTGTGCCATGAACGATGACCCTCGGTCTGTGATCAGGACTTCGGGGGCGCCATGCCGGAGGACGATGGACTCGATGAAAAACTTGGCGACTTCCACAGCAGTCCCTGAAGGGAGGGCTTTCGTTTCGGCGTACCGCGTGAGATAATCTGTGGCGACGATTATCCAGCGGTTTCCCGATGTTGACGGCGGAAAGGGGCCAAGTAGGTCCATTCCGATCTGCTGGAACGGTGCGGTCGGGGGAGCAATCGGCTGCAGGAGACCGGCCGGTTTCGTTGGCGGTTTCTTACGTCGCTGGCACTCGTGGCACGATCGGGTGTAGAGGTGGACGGCTTTGGGGAGCTTTGGCCAGTAATACTTTTCACGAATACGGGCCAGTGTTCGGCTGTAACCGAGGTGTCCCGACGTCGGGTCGTCGTGACATGCTTGAAAGATCTCCTCCCGAAGGTCGGTCGGGATTACCAGCAACCATGGTGTGCTGTTGTCGCCGAAGTTCTCTTTGTAGAGTACACCTTGTCGAATGGCGAAGGTAGGCAATACTCGTGAGAAGACA